TCAAAAAAGTTAACAGCGTTGTAGTATTTCCGAAATTAGTATAATAAAAAACATGTTTTTTATTATACTAATTTCGGAAATACTACAACGCTGTTAACTTTTTTGAACATATAATACGTATTTTTCATTACATTTTACAATAAAGTAAGACTTATTATCGCTTTTACAAATCAAGAAAACTGAAGTCAAAAATTTCTAATTGCATAGCGGGATAGTGTATTATTATATATAAATTAAATATAAAGCTAAAATAATATTATTGAATTTGTGAATCTAACCACATGTAATTTTAATAGCTTCAATTTCAATTTTATAGAAACCACTTTTGACCAGTTTCAACGCTATATTCATTTCTCATACTTTTAATTATCACGCTATATTCTTGAAGATATCAGCATTTTTGTCACGTAAGGATATTCAGAAGACTGCTCGAATTATTTTATAACAGCTGACAATATATAATTCAGTAATATAAAAAAAATATAAAGTTTTATTTTTGTTATTTAATATCCAGCAAAGGATACGTTTTTGTTTGCAGTTAATTATATATTTTAAACATCCTGTATAACTTGTTAATTTTTGCTGATACAGTAACACGCGTATTATTGTTGCTTCTCGTGTTTTGCATAAAATAATTCGTTTATTATAAGGATGAAATAACGTAAAACGCATACTTCTGCCTCTAATGATAAAAAAATAAATTATGCATTTAGAAATGCATTATTGAAGTTTCCTGCTCCTGTCTCAGATGTGACTTCACAAAACGTTTACAATTCAATTGTGTTATAACTCTCAACTATGCTCTTTCCAAAAATCCAAAAAAATTTATCCTCCTCCTAACTAAAATTTTCAAATTTACTCAATAATTTTTTAAAATGCTATACAAACATATGCCAATGTTCTTTAAAATATATTAAATTCTATAGAATACGTTAAAAATTACATATTACATCAAAACTATATTTTCAAAAAATACCAATAATTACGTTAAGAGTGTGAGATTTTTTATCTTTAATTCTCAGATATAATTTAAAAATTTAATTCTATAAGTTACCAAAAAAACGCTGCATGATACAAATTAAAAAAAAATTATTTAAAAAAAAACATTCAATATGACTGTAAGAAAGCAATGCTGAATTTAACTATCAATTTGTTAAAAATGTGGTAGTATAACGTTTCACAGCTTGAATTTTATTATCAATTTTCGTGAAAGGATACTGAATGTTACATTACTGATATCTGAGATACAGATAGTAACGGACAGAAAAAACATAGAAAAATGTTCTATGTAAAGTAAGACACTGTAAGTAGCTCCGCAATATGAACGCGCGTGTGTAGTATTGCTAATCTCCTGCAAAATTTATAAAATGTAACGATTTTTCGGCCACCCATTCGATTGTTAGACACTCTGCTTCTTACCAATATCAATAACAAACCATCAAAGAAGTCAAAACATCATAAACAAAACAAACAATGTAAAAACCAACGCTCGCCACAAGCTGTACATTTCAGTTCACGCTGAAGCGGCAAACCAACAAGAGTGTAAGATCATTCGTTGGATAAAATAAAAAAACCAGTAGAAGAAACTATAATACTAATTGTCAGTAAAAATACTAAAAAGTGGAAAAGTAAAGCAGATAAAGTTCATCGTTAACTACACACCAACGAAATGGTATTTTTCGACTAAAATGTTCGCCATTTAAAAATAATAAAAAAATAAGCAATATGCAAAGAAATAGAAGATCTTTTAATTAAGAAAAAAAAATTCATAAACAAATAACAATAAGAAGACAATACAGGATATAGAGCCGACGAAAGTTGTTTAACGTTTGTATTACATTCTTCTCGGTGTTAAAACAATGATTGATTAACATTCGTCTTTTACGATAACAATGAAATGTCCACTGTCCACTGAACTGTTAACTTACTATTATTTCATATCACTTTCTCGCATTTCGCCTCAGCACAATACATAAATACAATATTTGGTCACTATTACATTACCTTTTACATTATTGAAGATAGGCTCAGATACTGACAGAAACGTTTAATAATTTAATAATTTACGTTAACGGAAAAGAAGAATGTTAATCATTCATTGTTATAATACCATGAAGAATGTAATACCAGTATTATATGCATTGCGCCGAATCGAAATCCTTTATTTTCTTCTTATTGTCATTTCTCTTTATATAATACGAGCCTGTATGCAAATATAAAAACAATAGAAATTTACTATTTATCACGCAAATTAATATGATTCCAGAGCGGAGTAAGAAATACGTTAATGAGTGGTGCTGCAGTTACGGCGGCCGTCATAGCAGGGTATAAAGTTATTAATTCTAGGAAAAGAAAAAATCTTTGCTCCCACAAACAAACAAGTGAAGAAATGAAAAATAAAAAATGGCGCAATGTTAACAAAGAGTATTCTACTTTACAATCTTCAAATTGGAGAAAAATTGGTAAAGTAGTTGATTTAGGGATATTTCCAGTGAAATCGAGTCAAATAAAATTTAATTCTGAGTCATTTAAATTTCGCGATTATGGAATGTGTGTACACAATATGGAGACATATATTTGGGACGGGTAAGTACAAAATCTTGTATTCTTACTTAAATAATAACTCAAAATTATAAAATTTTTCAAATCGAAACAAAAAGGTTAAACTGGCATAAAGTATTATCGTAAAAAATTCATTCCACTATGTTCTTAATTAAATTAATTATACGGAAAGATAATTTTTATTACACAATAAGCTAAATATAATAAGTAATATTCCACATTTATTAGAATGTTTTTAGTGTACAACAAAACAACAGGTAAATTTGAAGATAGCAGAAAATACCCTTTATTGGAATCATTGTATGTAGAGCTCACAAACCCTGGCGAATTAACTTTAAATAGCTTCATATCGTCCAATACAGTAACAATGAATTTAAATCAAGATCGCAATCCTTTCAATCGATTTCTGAAGGAGATATGGAATAAAACTTTCGGAACATTTTATAGTTCAGATAGAAACGTTAATACATGGTTAAAAAAGTAAGTATCATGTAACCTCTATTAACGCTTATAATTCTTGTATTTGAATAATAAAAAATGTAAATGTAGCTGGATATGTGAGGAGACAAATGAGGATGTAATTTTGGCTCATATGCTTCCACATAACTGGTATTCGACAGAAAAGATAAAAAACAATTGGTTCCACTTTGTTGATGGGTACGAAGCTATGGAAGAAGATAAAACGGTAATAATTACATAAAATTCAATTAATAATTAATAATCATTATTGTAGAAATAAAATTATTAATTTGTATTAGTTTTCGTACGCACAAATTTGTTCGTTACAAGAATAACAAAAACAAAAGACTAAAATAAAAAGCATAAAATAAATTTTCTGTTTTTGCTGTATATCTTCAAACATAAGAAATAGAATTACCGTGTGCTTAGTGCCGCGTGCTTAATTGCTAAAATTTAACTAAACAATTGTTACAAACGTTTATGTCTGATTAAAGTATCGAACGTTTTGTGGAGCAATTTTTGAAAAATGATTTGTCACATTTCACCCTTTGCACAGAAAAAGTTTCGAGGTCCACAAACAAAATACAAAAGAGACTGATTCGATACATCTTGCGGAAGATACTTTTAGACTCAATAAATCTTATGAAACAAATGTGTCCCAATTCTTTTTTTGCATAAAAAAACTTTTCTGTATCACCCACAAAATTCAGTCGTATAATAAAGTTTCTGTTATGCGTCATTATCATTTTTAGTATAGCAAGAATGAATTTTAAGTGATGTAGAGTGGTTTCACGTGTGTAAGAATGACCGATACGATACACTCTTCTTCCGTAGAGACTGTATCGTATTGGTCTCTTTTGTATTTCGCATAAAGACCTAGGAACTTCCTCTATGCAAAAGGTAAAAAGCGACAAATCATTTTTCAGAAATCACTCCAGGAATGTTTCAAATTTCAACCAATTAAATTTATTACCTTTCTTACTGTTGATTTTCGAAAAAAAAAAAAACACATTTACTAAGAAATTGCTCAACTGATCTCTACATTTAAATTAATTAATTGATTTCTCTGACATAAATATGAACTAATATAAACTTGTGTAATATAAATAATTTGTTGCCAGAAATGTCGCAAAAAATTGTTTTTTAGCATTAAAAAGCAATTAAAAAGTGACACATTAACATTAGGGTTGTTAAGTTTGTTTGGATCAATACATCATTTTAATACATTTCGAAACAAACAAAATTTTCACAAAATAACTTCATATTATTTTAGGGAAAATTCATAACTTTACCACGTTTTATACTGATGACATTAAAGACGCAATTAGAGATACTTGAAAACGATAGATATGTGACGCCAAATATTTTAGTTGACACTGACGATGAATCGATAAATCCTTTTATAGAGAAAACCTGGGATTGGATAAAAATCGGTGACGATGTAATTCTCAGAAAGGTCAAACCAGTTCCGAGGTATTTGCACGCACTTATATACTTAATTCTATCTTTATTTTACTAGCTATGCTTTATGTATTTTTATTATTCTAAATTTCTAATTAAAGAGTTCAAAATATTAGTATTTATCATGGTGTTCAAAAGTTTGATCAATTCTGTAAAAAAACATAGTCTGCTTAATAATTTCTAATCATTATTTTCAAAATTTT